TTTTTTTTTTTTTTTTTTTATAATGTCATTGTCCACATAACTCTTGTAAGAATATATGTAGCAAGTATTGGACTCACATTTAATTATTCTACTAGTACAACACCCGTGTATTACACGGGTGCTTTCTAATTTTTTTCTTAAAATTTAAAATTAATGAGAAAAAGTAGTTTGAAAATTTAAATACCTTTTATAAGAATATTTATATTATTATATATTTATTATGATACTTTTTATTTGTGCGACTTACTTGTGTTATATTATACTAATTTTTTAACTTACAATACATAACTACATTAAATATAAATATACCAATTGAGAAATAATTTTATTTTTCTAATAAATTTTAATAAATATTATTATTTATTATTATTATAAAGATAAATATAATTTATTTATTTTATATATACAATATGGATGTCAAATTGAAGATCATCAAAAGATGATTAATTAGATATATTATATATGTAAAACCGATAAGAAATACAAAAGTTATCTACTTTTAAAATACATTTATATTTCAATAGCTTATTGAAGGAAGCAAATCAAAATTTAGGGATATATTAGTCACTTAGTACCTCACTATGTAAAATTACAAACAATTAAAGGGTTATATTAGTAAAAGTGATATTAAAATACCTAAGTTAGCTAAATAATATTTATGGAATACCCGAACCTAGATTATTAATTATTAATAATTAATATTATTTGTCCAAACCTAATTACGAAGCATGATTCTTCGCCAAATAGGATTCCGAAGCACCAGAAGCAGCCACGTAGGCTCAGCGCATTCGGGAATTATATATAGGGAGGATTGGGTCAGACCTTTATTTGATAGTTAAACAAATCTAAATCATTAAAAATAAAATATATTCATATTTAGAAACTAGCAAGATGATTTGCGTATTTTATTATTCTTTAACTCAAGAGTAAAGTATACTTGTGTTTAGAAACTAGCAAGACGATTAGATATTGTGTATTAGTTATTATTTTTATAGAAGATGTATAAAAAATAGGTAAACATAATTATACATAAAGAGTACTTATGTGTATATCATTTGAAACAGAAATTCTATGGAGCCATCGGATAACTCTCTTATGCAGTCATTCATAACATTATTTTCCACTATGAATGTGATTTGAAAACAGTATAAAATGACAAGTAATTAGAAATAATAATATATTTTAAAACGACATTGTTTTAAAAATGAAGGCTGTAACATCCATTTTAGTTTTTAATCAAGTATTCAGAACAATGATCGAGATTAACTATTTGTATTTTCTTTTACAGCTTAATAAAATATTGATATATATTATTTGATAATTATTACACAGTTAAAATTTTGTTCATTTGTTTAAACAAAATTATCGTTTTGGTTCAAATCTATGTTCTAAAGATCATTTTGTTTGACAAACAGTTTTATTTTCCAAAAGTAGTCATTTTTGTTCATTTTTCTTTCTTTTTTTTTTGTTGGTGTTAAAAGGAATTCTCATTTTGGATTCGACATATGTTTTAATTATTATTCATCAAAGAATATATATATATATATATATAATTTCTAAAAATTCAGAAATTTAGTAAAAATGTTATTAATAGTTTATACTTATTTATTTATTAAAAAATAATTAATACAATATTTATGATATTATTTTGAACTTAAATTAATTATAGAAAACCTGATATTAAATAACAAACCAAATATATATAACAAAAAATTTAATTATAATATAAAAATATATAGTTTTTTTTACCAAAAGATCTGGTTTGTGTGTGAAATTAATAAAGGTTGTGTAATGATATAAAAATAAGTTCATAAAATTGTATATTTTCCTGCAAAATTTTCATGCGAGCTTTTTTTATTATTTTGAAATTGTAATATGTTTGACACCAATTCATTATGTAATGTACTTCTTTTGTTTGATTAATTAAAAATAATAATGTAAACAATTGAATTGACCATAAATATATAGAAGAGAAAAAATAATTTAAAATCACATGAAAATTTAAATTCTGTATCACGTGCATCGCACATGCACTTTACTAGTTTTATTTTAATAGTGACACACTACAAAAAAACACCACAATTTCAACGAAAAATTCCAACGGCAAAAATTTCCGTTGAAAATTCCAATGAATATTCCAACAAACTTAATTTTATGTTGGAATAAGTGTTGGATAGTTGAGGAATTCCAACAGATTTTTTCCGTTAGAATAGCTGTAAGAATTTATTTCCATAGGAATTTTCGTTGGATATTTGCTATTCTAACAACCATTTTTCCAACGGATTGTTATACGTAGGAATATCCGTTGGAATAGCTATTCCAACGGATATATAAAAAAATTCCAACGGAAAATTTCCGTTAGAATGTAAGAGTTTTTTTTTTT